AGATCTGCTAAATATCTCCAGAATTTTCTGTCTTTAACCTCAGATTACCAGCATCCACAGTAATTTGCTTTCATGTGATCCTCCATTGCTCGGCTATCTGAACTTTGTGCAAGATTTAACCATGTTGTCCTTTCATATATTACAGTTAGGTACTAGAAGCTCCATTTTAACCAGTGGACTTGAACAAGGCAGTTATCCTAGCCAAGCAAGTCCAGTTCAGTTGACACTGTATATCAATGCCCAAAATAATCCATTGTCAGTGTTGTCACAAAAAGGAGAAAAACAAAATACAACTTTAACATAGTAAATTACCATATAAGCCTTGCCTCTTGAAATTATAGCCATAGAGTAATTTGGCACAGTAACAGACCCTTCAGCCCAACTTGTCCGCACCAGCTAAACATCCCAAACTGACCTAGTCCCATTTGCCAGCATTTGGCCCATATCCCTATAAATTCTTCCTATTCATATACCCATCCAGGTGTAATTGTACTTGCCCTCACCACACTTGCCCTCCTCTAGCAGCTCATTCCATACAAGCACCACCCTCTGCATGAAAAAGCTAGCCCTCAGGTCCTTTTTAAAATCTTTTCCTTCTCACCTTGAACCTATGCCTTCCAGTGTTAGACTGTCTCCCCCCCCCACCCATTCTAGGAAAAAGACCTTGGCTAATCATCCTATCCATGCCCCTCATGATTTTATAAACCTGTAAGGTCATCCCTCAGCCTCTGATGCTACAGGGTAAATAGCCCCAGCCTATTCAGCCTCTCCCTATTACTCAAACCTTCTGGTCCTGGCAACATCCTTGTAAATCTTCTCTACACCCTCTTGAGTTTAACAACATCTATGCTCTAGAAGGGCGACTAGAATTGTATGCAATTTTCTAAATTGGCTTCACCAACATCCTATCATCTTGTGGCTGTACATCTTGACTCAACGCTCTGACCAATGAAGGCAAGTGTGCCAAATGCCTTCTTCACCATCCTGTCTACTTGCGGCTCCACTTTCAAGGAAATATGCACCTGCTCCCCAGGTCTCATTTGGCAAAACTCCCTGAGGTCTTACCATTATTAAGTTCTGCTTTGGTTTGCCTTACCAAAGGTATGGTGGCTCAGTGGTTAAGACTGCTGCTTCACAGCACTAGAAACCTGGGTTCACTTCCAGCCTTGGGCAATTGTCAGTGTAGAAATTGCATGTTTCCCCATGTCTACCTTGGTTTCCTCCTATGGCACAAAGATGTGCAGCTTGATTGGATTGGCTATGTCAAATTGCCCGTAAAAGTGTCCAGGGACGTGCAGGCTAGGTGGATTAGCCATGGGAAATGCAGGGTTACAGGGGTGGGTCTGGGTGGAATGCACTTCAGAGGAATGGTGTAGACTCAATAGGCCAAATGGCCTGCTTTCAGACTTGTGGGGATTCTATGAAAATGCAACATCTTACATTTAGATAAATTAAGATTCATCTGCCACTCCTCAGCCCATTGGCACATCTGAATATGGTTGTTTTGTACTGAAATAAATTATCTTCCCTGTCCACCAAACCACGTATTTTGGTGTGATCTGCAAACTTACTTACCATAGCTCCTATAAATCACATTCAAATAATTTGTATAAATCACGAAGAGCAATGGACCCATCACCGATTCTTGTGGCACACCGCAGGTCATAGGTCTCCAGTCTGAAAAGCTACCCTCTACCACCACCCTCTGTCTCCTACTTCAAAGGAAATTTTGTATCCCTGGATCCCATATGATCTAACCTTACTAACCAGTCCACATGCAAAAACTTGTTAAATGCTTTGCTGCAGACCATGTAGATAACATCTACCACTCTGCCTTCATTAATTTTGAGACAAGGTGCAGGGCTGGATGAACACAGCAGGCCAAGCAGCATCATAGGAGCAGAAAGGCTGACGTTTCGGGCCTAGACCCTTCATCAGAAAAGGGGGAGGGGAAGGGGGTTCTGAAATAAATAGGGAGAGAGTGGGAGGCGGATAGAAGATGGATAGAGGAGAGGATAGGTGGAGAGGAAACAAACAGGTCGAAGAGGCGGGGAGGGAGCCAGTAAAGGTGAGTGAGTGTAGGTGGGGAGTTAGGGAGGGGATACGTCAGTCCAGGGAGGATGGACAGGTCAAGGGGGCGGGATGAGGTTGGTCGGTAGGAGATGGAGGTGTGGCTTGAGGTGGGAGGAAGAACAGGTTAGGGAGGCGGGGACGAGCTGGACTGGTTTTGGGATGCAGTAGGGGGGAGGGGAGATTTTGAAGCTTGTGAAATCCACATTGATACCATTGGGCTGCAGGGTTCCCAAGCGGAATACGAGTTGCTGTTCCTGCAACCTTCGGGTGGCATCATTGTGGCACTGCAGGAGGCCCAGGATGGAC